GGCGGGCGCGCCCGCCTGACGGGGCCCACTCGGCCGGAGCCGGGGCCCCCCGCGCAGGCAGGGGCGGTTTGGCCTCCGACCGCAGGAATCTCCCCGTTTTGCTATCATTCTTTTCTCATTCTTCCAGTCTTAAGCTTGTTTCGGTCTGATGATGATTTTACTCACACTCTAGCCCGCCTTTCGTTCCTGAGCTCAAAGTGAGATGCAGAGCAGTCCCTCCCCTGATTTTTCCCCACCCCAGCAACCACCCTGTCAAGCAGGCTGGGCCCAGAGAGAGGGACTGGCTCCAATCCCCCTAGGGAGCTTCCATGGCTGAGGGGAGATTTGAACCCAGCTCTCCTCAGCGCCAGTCCAGCACCTTCCAGGCCTGCTTTCAATATTTTTAAGTCAGTGTATCAGGAGACGATGCAAAACTAAAGGTGCACTTTCTCTAGTATACAGCACCCCCCCCCACATGCTTTGCACAATCTTAGGCATCTAGTTTAGTGGGCGCTGCTGGGGTCTCTTTAACAGAAAGGTGGGGGGTCATTGGTCAGTTCCACCAATAGCAGGCCTCTGAGAACAATGGCCGTACTGGTCTTTGGGAGCCCCACAGCTCTGCGTCTTGGATTCATATTTCTGCAATAATCTTCAGATCTTCTATCTTAAAAAATGTCTGTTGAAACGATTGGTTTTAAACACATTTCACCCCAAAGTGCTGCAGTTTTAACTAATGTGCTCCCCAAGTGTACTTTTTAAAAATCCATTCTGACCCTCTCTTAGTCAGATGGATCTCACGTCACTGGCAAAGGGTAAAAGCACATGGATTCCCAGCTTCCAATCTGCTCCTCAGCAGGGTGGGGGGAGGGGGATGTCCTTTTACGTGGGATGTTACACTGGAGGGGTGGTTGGCATTTATGACAGTGGCCTTCACTCCGGGATCCAGAAGCACCTGGCCACGTGTTCGGTCCTGCCCCGTGTTTGGAGCAGCCCAAAGTGCTTTGATCCAAAAGCAGTTTGGACAGGGCATCCAGCACCCAGTGAGACCCTTTCGTGGAAGGGTTTGGCCTTGCTAAAGACCTCGGGAGGAGCTTTCTCTTCTCCATCTTGTCTTGGCAGTACCTGGAGATGCGGTTCTCCAAGAAAGTCCGCCTGTGTGGGACAATCCAGTACATCATTGCCACGGTAAGTCCTGAGGATTGTGGCTGGCCTGCAGTGGGCAGTCCCCTCCGAGAGAGCTGCAACGTCCCCCGAGGGTTTCTGCCCAGAGCCTTTCTCGGCCCTCCTGGGAGGAGAGGCGGTGTTGGAGCTGCAGCCATCTGCGTACAGAGTGTGTCCTGACGCGCTGTATGGTCTGAAAGATGTAAGGTCCAGCCCTGCTGGTCAGAGCTGGCCAAAACAAGAAAAGAAACTGCCCCTCACCCAGCCCTGACCCTCAATGCCTCTCCCTCTGGGTGGCGCCCCCCACCCCCCAAATCAAGTAGGATTCTAGCCTTGGGGGTTCTGAGAAAAGAGCTGGTAGAAAGAGGAGCCTCTGCACGACCGGCAGTCCAAGAACCTTTCCCATCTTGGAGTGGCAACGTTGCCAGGTTGACGTGCTGCTCTTGTGGACAAGCCGAGGCATGGTGTTCAGTGCCACCCCACCACAGCCCTTCCCACATCCCTTCCCTCCTCAGCTTTGCAGATTTTAGAAGCTTTATGCTCCCCATCTTTGCCTCCCTCAGATCCTGTACACAGGCATTGTCATCTATGCCCCTGCCTTGATCCTCAACCAAGGTAGGTCCCACCTGTTCTCCTGCACTCTGAACCCGGACTCTCCCTCTACCGGGTTCGCACAGCCCCGCTCCTTAGTCAGCTGAAGACCAGTGGCTGACCCGGGTCATGGCAGGCCTCCCAAAATGCTGATGGGTGTTGTATGCATGTGCGTGCTGGGGCAAGGTCCGGGTTCCTTGGGTTCTCCTCTCCATGGATTGTGGCAGCTCAGAACGTGGGATCCCCTGTGGCTCAGTTAAGCAGTTATGCAAAGGCAGTTCCTGAGCTCAGGATCCCTTCCTGGCAGGGGGTGGATCGGAGAGACCTGGTGCAAACCCTCAACTCCATCAGATCTGATTTGGTGGATTTTAAAACCTCGGCCTGAGCTGATCTGATTCGGAAAGTTGCTTGGATCTGGAAAAGGCCTTTATTTGGAAGCCTCTGATCTGATTCAATGATTTGATCCAGAGATTCGACTGGATCACGTTTCGCCGTCAGACCTTTGCAGAGCTCTAGCGCTTAGCCCTTAGTAAGGCTGCTGAAAACGCCAGCCTCACCTTCCCCACGCTTGTAAGAGACGCTGGCCTTGGAGCGGCTGTGCCCGCCAACTCTTGTGCTGGGGACAGTAAAGTGAGAGAAGGCATTTCTCTCTCTCTCTCTCTCTCGCTCTCTGCTTTAAGAGGAAGCCAGGGGACTCCTTGGAAAGGGGAAACCCTTCGTGGGAAAAGTCTCTGAACAGACCCCACGCCGTCACTGTCTTCCTCTTTTTTTCAGTGACCGGTCTGGATATTTGGGCCTCCCTTCTCTCCACGGGCACCATCTGCACCTTTTACACCACCATCGTGAGTCAAGGGGAAACTGCCTGTGGCCGCTTTCTCCTCTGGCCCTTGCCCCCCCAGGAAGAGGCTTGGGGGTCTGGGCATCTGCGCTTCCCCCCTCTCCTTTTCCTGCCCTTCCCTCCTGCCGAGAACCCTTGGCTTGGAGAGCTCAGCAATTCTGGAAAAGTGAAGCTTGGACAGGCGCCTCAGAGCTGGCTGAGCTGCCAAGAATCCCCCTCTCTTCCAGGGTGGGATGAAAGCGGTCATCTGGACAGACGTCTTCCAGGTCTTC